AAATATCTTCCCACTTTGTATGTTGCTTAATTTCCACTTGTGTTCCATTACTTTCAATTTCTGTTGAAATGTTTCCATTTCTATCACGCACATTGTTCCCTTTATTCTTTTGGCTTTCTTAATTTTTGCTTCTATGTTTAGGTGTTTTATGATTTCCTCCGCTTTTGTTATAATTTCTTCCTCATTGTTATTGTTAATTTCCATCCCTGTTATTATTACGTTATTCTTTTTGTTCTCTTTTTCCATTCTTTCCATTTTATTCTCTAGTATTTCCATTTTCCCCACTTTCGTCTTTAATTCCTGTAGCTCCTCCTTTAATTCTTTATTTTCTTTTCTGATAGATTTTATTTCTTCTTTTGCTTCTTGATTTTCTTTTCTTATTTCTTTTAACTCCTTAAGTATCTCTTTCATAAACCTTTTCATTTCTGTTGGCTCTGTATCTGATGTATCTAGGCTTGTGGTCCCTTTCTTATGATTTTAGTGTGTGTGTTATTTTCCTCTTTCGCTTCCGCTATTCGTTTAGCAATCGCGAGTTTATTTTCTTTCCAATGAGTCTTCTTCCATCCACCATGTATGTAATGTACAATACTTCCTACAAAGCATGATATTAATCTTAATCTCCAACAACAATGAAGCGTCTTGGCTTACGAGTTTTTAAATCAGGTATTTGTATCATCGACACAGAATTTTTATCTTCAACGTTATCAATGGACACTCTTGTTAGTTCATCACACCCCCGCTCCTTTTACATCGATGATCAACACGACTTGAAACTTTTCGAAAACTATTTAAAATGAAATAAAAGAATACGTACATTCTTCTACCTTTAATATTAGAAATTCTTTATCTGGAGCTTCTCGAAGAAACCTTTCGATTTCAATACGTGACAAAACTCCTGATGTTTTGTTTTGATATCCGTCAGCTTATCTTTTCAACTGCGCAATTAGCTTATTAAATTTGCTAATATCAGTGTTCTTCTTTATTAATACTGTCGACTTAAGCATGGAATAAGAACTTCAGAGGATTAGAGACTTATAATTATATTTAGTTTATCCGCAAAGTGAGCCAAAAGAACGTCTTCATTAACTCCATTAACCTTCTTAATCTTGCACCAATCTTCAAAAGCTTAATAAACCCCATTGTACCTCATTTTTTATTTTTTGGATGGCTAAAGGAACCCCGTCTCAAATATTTCCTTGCAAGAAATTGCAAAAAACTTGACCACGAAAATACAAAAATGACGGATTTTGTTTATTTACCATGTTTATTTCCAAATTTTTATTTCTATGGCCTTAGAAACGAATACAACGCACCACTATATATTTATAGAAAAACAAGTTTAATTATTAAATTTAAAATTAATTTTTATTGTAATCAACGGTTTCAGAAAAAACTTAATACATGACTTGTCAGTAAAATGTCCGTACTTTATATAGAACCTTAAAATACTCGAGACGAAGTGTATCCTATTTCAATAGGGCTCCTCCTCAGTAATGATCTATTTTCCTGACTTTTATGTAAATAACTGTTTCATAATAGACCTCAGATCACCAACAGGCGGAAAGAGGAGATCAAATTTTTCATATTCCCTTACGATCATATTACCGTAGTACAATCGTATTCGAACTTATATAATTTTGTTTCTAGTGTTTGATCACGTATACTCTGTTCCAAAAAAAAAAAATATAGTTAAAAAATTGGTCGAAAGTTGGTTCGACAAAACTTCCCTCGCATTTTTGCAAGGACACGTATTTTAACTTGGATTGGTGCAGAGTAGTTCTAAAAAATAACAGTATTGTATTCCCAAAATTTTCAGGGAAAATGGACTGAACAGTTTCGAATTTAATCAATAAAATAAATTGTCTCACTCATAAATGTTTTTGAGCCACCTGTTTAAGCAAATCAAAAAAATGTGAATGCAATCATAATGGTAGAATTTATTCGGAAAAATTTTGAGATGACGTCATCAATTTTTTGGGGGGAATAAATAGATATAAATATTTTGGTTAACAATTTGCCATGCTTACAATAACTTCAAAACGTCTGCAAGATTTCAAAGTATTCAGTTTTGCAATTCTTCATTTATTCAATAAAATAAATTGACTGATTCATTAATATTTTTGAGTGACCCTGTATAAGCAAATCTAACAAATGAGTTTCTTAATTTGATCAATAAAAAATTGGTCGAAGGCTATAAGTATAATCCGACAAATCCAGGTCTTTAAAAAATTATAAAATTTGATTTTACGATTTTCGTTTTGTGCTAACCTCTGTAAAGTAAAAACCAGAGGCACAAATAACACCAATTGTCCTTCAGCAGTGGGTAATAGCAATCTGAAGCTCAAGCGTTTACTTATGTTTATACATCGAAAGAATCTCACATAGAAGTTAGTTTGATTTGAATGAGTTTGTCTTCTCAAAACAGGACTAAAATTATTAATTTAACCATTATCGAACAAAATGTTCTGAATATTATAATTCTTATTTTATCATTATTATATAAAGACGTGCGTATTCTTCACATTTTCGAGAAAATGGGGTGACTCGTTTTTAATTTGATCAATAACAAATTTGTGATGACGTCATCAACATGGATAATTTTAGTCACAGCATAAAAAAGTAGCCACAGTGTTATACCAATGCAAAAAAAAGGAAAGGGCCAAGTTCGGCATCGAACCACATGTGTAACATTCAAATCATTTTAGAATACCATTCATTAGAATGACGTCATCAAATTGTTGGTAGAGACGATTAGCCAAATTTTGGTTAGCATTTAACCATCTACATGATATTTCTAATATATATACAAAATTTGACAACAATCGGTCCAGCAGGTATAATGTCTAATAAAAATGGATACAGACAGACAGGCGGAAATGGGAGACTACTTTTTTCGTACTGTAGGGATCATGAAACGTCGAGAAAACATAAAAGTGGCCATTCGTCCGATGGACTCGATTACAGTACTTCCTTTGCTTACGCTCGGGAAGTAAAATGAATCGAGTTTAGACACTAACGACGTGGGTATTTTTAGCATCATTTTCCTTTTAATCGAAATAACCGCTTGTAGTTATAATTTTTTTATTTTGTGAAATTTTATGGGAAAGAGTACCAACAGTCAAATATAAAAATAAGTCATAGTCAAATAGTACATGTATAATAGTATAATCTAACTACTACATAACTTAAATAAAGTTCACGGTATTTTAGATAGTCAACAACTGAAGTAAAGGAAGAAAGGAAGCGAGAAACGGGGAACTATTTTTTTAACAGAATAACGATGAATAATAATGATCATAAAAATCAAAAAGATTTATCTATACCGGGTGTCTGGAAAATGGCGGATTAACTCTTCAGTACGTTATATACGGGGGTTTCGGGAGTCCCAAAAAAATAATAAAAAAAATCTTTATGATGTAGATTACGAAAAAAAAAGCACTTTTATAAAAGTAAAATTGGCAACACTGCTCACACCTAATGCGTGAATATAGTCTTTGCCATTTCTATTGAAACACCACTTGTTGATCGTAAATTTGGCAACGTTCATATTCAGACAATTGTCTAACTAAAAGCCGTTGTCAATCAACCGAAAACTGTTAGCAATTGCTAAATTTTAGGCAAAATCAACAGGTGGTGTTTCAATAGAAATGGCAAAGACTATACCTCCGGCTTACTTTCATGATTTCTTAGTAACGATGGTGACTGAAATCCACGTTCGCTTTATATCAGGCAAACATCGTTGTCAAATAGATTTTTTTCAAATTATTACAAAAACAACACAACCATATCTTTGTGCATTCTATTAACCAAAATTTGTATTACTAGTTATTGTGATAAATGATAATGCATGAGTTGTTTACTTGTTAAACGTAGCAAAAGAACCAATTTTAAAATCATTATAACTCCAAAATTTGAGAATTCTACTTTTAGTTATTCCCCTATAGGTATAGTACCAAATAGTAGAAATTGTTTAAATATCTCGTAGGTGCCCTGATGTAGTGGTGCCTTTTATTGCTTATTCCTTTACTTCTAACTGGGATGGCTCTTGCACTGGAGATGTTGACGCCTAGATACTTGTAGGTACAAAATAAATCTTTTTTTTGCCACTAGCACTTGGAACGAACAACAACGACACTATTAATTAATCTTTTTAATTTTTAATGAGAAAAAACTCTATTGGTTTACTTTTTCCTATGTGATGATCTAATTATATAAATAATATATACATATACATTTCATTTTAATTTAAACACAAATAAATTTGAATTTAAGTTTTTACTTCCCGAGCGTAAGCGAAGGAAGCATCATAATCGAGTCCGTCGACCGACTTTCTACTTTTACGTTTTCTCGTCGTTGCACAACCCCTAGAGTACGAAGAAATAGGTCTCCCGTTTCCGTCTGTCTGTCTGTCTGCCGTCTATCCGAATTTTTATTAGACAGATAACCTCCGAAACTACTGGACCGGTTTGTTGTCAAATTTTATGTTGTTATTTTATTATGAATATCATGTAGGTGCTAACTAAACTTTGTCTAATCATCCAGACCAATAAAGTGATGACGTCACTTCAAAATTGTACATGTTTTTTCTTGTCAGGCAAGCACTACTTTAATTCATTCTAATGTTAAACTTGCAATAACATTAAAACTAAACATTAACACAAGTTATTACTAGTGGTAAGTAAAAATACACAAAATTTTATAATAGTTTTTATTTACACACAATTTTACCTTGTTTTGATTTTTTTTATAGTTTCTTTTGTTTTAAATTTTATTGTTTAAATATTTTGTTGTAATTAATCTTCGTTGTTTTAAAAAAGAACAACACGACTCACATCAAATATCTATATATTTGTTATTTATTTTTTATTTATTTATTTATTCAGGATAAGTTTCGATAAAAATATGTAGGAGTTCCGAAGTTGAATTAAACAAATATTCGAATATAAAGTGTTTTTCGTTATTTTACTGTTTCTAATTAATAATTATACGATTTATTTCAGAACTATGTGATGCGGCCACAAAGATACAAGCATCGTTTCGGGGACATATGATAAGAAAACAAATGGAAAAAAAAGAAGATGAATCAGATTCTCCCAAAAACGATAAAAACGAGGTAAATACTTAGCTTTCAAATATTTTCAATATGTTACAGTCCTCAGTAATACTTTAATTAATACTGATTGAAGTTGCGATTTTATACAAAGAACTCAATAGCTAAGAATTTTAAAATTATTCTTCGCATTTCGCAATATGTAGGTACAGTCGCGGTGGTTGAAAAGCACCACACTGCATTTTGGTACATTATTTAACGAATTTCTCAGTACGCGGATCATTGATGTAAAATTTCATCCCGTTTGGAGAAACTTTTAAAAACTACCCTCAAAACAACCTTCCAGATTGAGGGTTAAAAATGCTCCAATCAGGTCAAACCTTACCACATTTGATTAATTCTCAAAATGAGATAAAAAATTTCAGCCTGTTCGAAGTAGCCCTTGACACCTACACCCCAAATAAATTTGCAGACCAGAGCTTTAAAATACGTACTTCAGTCGAGTTGAAAATTGACCTTTACTTGTAAATATCTCTACATGAGAAGTGCTGATGCAAACTTTCGGCCTATTTGGAACAACCCTAAAAAATGGTCCCTAAAACAACTTTGCAGACTGGAGCTTAAATATACTTCAACCGCGTCAAAATTGGCATTTGCTTTAACTCTGCATGAGAGGTGTGATGCAAAATTTCAACCTTTTTAAGCATTCCCTAACTGCTACCTCCAAAGCAAGCTGTTTTTGAATAGATGGAAGACACGATAAATATAAACACAGATTCGTGATTCTGAGAAAATTTTCAACAGAAAAACTCCCTTTTGCAGCTAATTAACTAAGTTTGAAGTATTGTACTAAAGTAGTGGAGGCTTCGCGATAAAAATTAAATTAAAAAATAAATATTTCAAAAATTCTTAAAAATTTCAACATAAAATGTTATACTCAGCAGAAGTTACATATTTCTCTTTAAGTCTCTTGACATCTGAATAGGTAACAATACAAACGAAAATGAAAATCAAGTTAATCGAGCATTGCTTTAATTTAAACAATTTCAATTTTTTTTAATATAAATTACATTTTTCTCCAGCGTTTGAAAAGTTTCGGCGAACATACGCACAGATTTGTGATCTTGAAAAACAACCCCTAAAACGGCATTGCAAATTGGAGCTTAAAAGTACTGTAATCGAGTTTAAACTTGACATTTGCTTATACATATATCTTACATGAGAAGTATTGATGAAAAATTTCAGCCTAATTCAAGCAATCTCTTACCATCAAAATTACCTTGGAGACTGGAGCTTTAAAATACTTTCATTAATAAGTCGAAAGTTGGCACTTGCTAATATATATTCGAAGTAATTCTTAACAATTACCCCAAAACAACTTGTCCGACTAGAGCTTAAAAATACTCCAATCAAGTCTAAACTTGACACTAAATATATGTAAAAAAAATGTTTTGGTGGCAGTTTTTAAGGGTTGCTCCGAATACATTGAAATTTTGTATAAACACTTCTACAAACAAACACCAAATTTCGCCTTGATAGAAGTAGTTATTTTAAACTCCCAGTCTGCAAAGTTGGTGTGAGGGTAGTTGTTAAGAGTTCCCGAAAAAGGTTGAAATTTTGGATCAACAGTTCCACCAATACAGATACCAAGTTTCGACTCGATTAGGGTAAGTAAGGGTTCAAGTTATTTCAGGGATCAATTTTTGACTCGAGTGGAATATTTTTAAGTCCGGGTGTGAAAGGTACAGGGTGAAATTTTGAAACGCAGTTCTAGCATTTTTATATGTTAATCTGTAGGCTCAACAGGGGTCTGCCAATTAGACAGGCCCGGCAGTAGATTATACTCAAACTCACAAGCGTTTTGCTTACGGTTAAGTTTATTTCAAACGAGATTCTATTTTATTACTTTTTTGGTATACTACTAATAAGAGTTCATTTTCCCGTTGGTTATTCGGTTTAAATACCTATATTTTCTATTTTGCGCACTTGTGTGAACCATGGTATTCCATCTTACATTTCCTTTCCATTTTTCATGATCTGCGCTTTCCTGTCCTCCTCTCTTGCTTCTGTTTTTATAAATCAGATCACTAGATTGTTGTATTAAGATATTAATCTCCAAAATGTCATGTCGTACATCTTTTTTGCAGCAATTTGTAGTAACAGATTTTTTCTTATTTTAGGAAGAAGAATTAGACATAGATCTTTCAGATCCAGAATTAAATAAGGCTGCTGTGAAAATACAAGCTTCATTTAGAGGTCACATGTCTCGCAAGGATGAAAACATAACCACTAACTCAAAATAAGTATAAATATAAACAAGTACTTGAATACTAGTTAACGTATGTACTTGTTTGTGTTCGTTAAACTTATACCAAACTACCTATTGAATTTTCTCTTGAATATTTATATAAAGTAATCGAAGAAGTTTGTTGTGATTGACAATTTAAATTATTCGTCCTATCAGTATATGAACAAGATAGACAAACGTATTCATGTCATCTAATCGTTACAGTTACTGATGGTTAGAAGTAATAGTTAAACAGATATATACTGTACTTACAAGGATAGATAACAATTATAAGTAAAATTCTTTTGGCTACTACAACAAAACCGTTTTCACAGAAGACTTTGGAAAAGGAAGAGAAAATAAGGGAAAATTATATAATATTTAATTAGTTTAATTTACCTATATAAAGATGTTAATCTGCACCATTGATATAGAAGTGCTTGCTTATAACAAATGGTCATTTAATATTTGAATTTTTTTATGTGCCAGTATCAAACTGATTTTTTTTCTTTGAATATCAAAAAACCACAAACAAAAAATGAATATAAACGTCAAATGATTTATATAATTCTGTAAATGTGAATCAGAGTAGTCTAAAAATCACTTACATCAAAGTATGAGTTCACAGTATGAAAAAGGCGACGTCGCTGTGTGGAGTTAGGTAATTACTCTAATGAGAAACTTAGACGAGTCTTCTGTTTTTGGCGATAATTTGTAAAATATTTTGTCCGAAAAGTTTTAAATTAATTATTATCAATACCTAAGATATTTAATTAACAAACCTTCAAACCAAAATTTGAGTTGCATTTACTCTTAACTTAACAGTAAGTAAATATGCTCATAAGCTAACATTTCAAAAATATAACATGACATTGAGTACGAAACACATGTTCAGTCAAGAACGCTGCATACAGTAGTTCAATCTTTCTCTCATAAGCAAATGTTGACTTTACACGATTATGATTGAAAAAATGCATTTCTTAAAATGAATTTGGTAAATTTATGTTCAAAAGATTAATTAACTGGTAACATCTGTGTGCTGCCAATCATAACAAAGTTAACAACCGCCTACCTAATAAATTAAGGTAGACATCGTAGATTAACGGCACCAATTTTTAATATTAAAATTTTATTAAAAACGACTACATATACCTTAGGTAAGAATTTGATGTTATAAAAATTTGAAAGTTGAAGTATTCATATACAATTTAATATTAAAAAATATTCATGTATTAGAGTAAATAAAAAATTACATTAATGACAAATATAAATCTACTATGCCATATAAATATTTTTCTATTTTTTATTGTACTGTGAGTGTAGTCGGGTGATCAAAGAAAGGAAAAAGATGATAGGTTAAAGCGGACATTACAAAATATAGGCACAGACAAACAGATTAATAATTTATGTTTTGTGGTGTTTGTTTCCCGTGAAATTTAGTGGGTTTCTAAGTATCTATATTACATAAGGATTAACATATTTATTTATATATTATAAGTACAAATACATATGTATATATGTACAAAATATTTTGGTTCACATAATTTGTAAAACATTTGCGAAATTATAAGAGCACATTGTTCTCCATACACTAACCAGTTGATCAAAACTCCCAAGTAAGTTTGGCTTATTCAAACGTCGTTAGAGATAAATCATCTTCGTCTTAAGTTAACTTAAATTAACATCGTTTAAAATGCAGTTAACCGTTGTAAACTTCATTATAGTTAAACATTTGCCTTAGGAGTAAGGGCATAAAAATTGGTCATTGTTTTTAAGTGTATTAATTTAAGTTAGCGATGTTACAGTTTTACGAAACTATATTGCAATTTTTGGAAAGATTAACTAGTGTACCTACAGAAAATAATGGCTTCAGTTCTTATAGTATTCAAAGTTTTCGAAATTCTGGTTAACACTGAATAAAAATAACAAAATGTTACGTTAAATATAAGTAAATTTTATTGTAGGAAAAACCTCTTGAAAGTCTTACTCAATTACTGGAGCTGTAACTATCATGGTTTGCCAAAGATAAGTATGGACTGTGATTATAAGCAAACAAATTTTGTCTTTTTAATTTTTCGTTCCATACTTAACTTTGACAAAGTTAGTAGTACTATATGAACAGAAAAGTCGTCTAGGAACCATTGAAATTTAATATAACAATAAAATATGTTGCGTGACTTAATAAACAACTTTCTTTTCCATTCATATGGTATTTTATGACTACCAGTTGCTTTTTTTGTTGAGATTTTTATTATGTCACATACAGTAAATTTTATGCAGTAAAATAAGTGCACGGAAATATAAGTGTTAATAAAAAACGTAATTTTATTTAAAAAAAACAATGGCTACTTTTACGTTAAAAGTATATATTTTTGTGTCAATTATATTTCATGTATAAATATAATGGGTTTTGGAATAAGCAATCATTAATTAAAAAAGCACTCTGTATATATGATGTTCTCTGAAAAGTTTAATAGGTATTAGAATACTACTTCGTCATTTACAAATTAGCAAAAAAATTAGTTAGATGAGCAAATTCTTTATTTTATTTATGTTTGTATACATTCTGACATGTTGATTTATAAGTATTTGCATGTATATTTTTAATTAATCTGTTGGAACTTAACTTCTATCAACAAAATTTTGGAAGATTTCACACATAATTATTTTATTAAAGATCCCCCAACACCAAACCCTGTACTCGCCGAAAAAGCTAGAAAATTGGGTCAATTTTGTATGTAACTATACCGTGAAGATGTTGCTTACTCAAACGCGAGATCAAATTTTTGACCAGTTAACTGGTCTTTTGAGTGATATTAAACGTTTAAAACTTTTTAGGGACTTTACAATCAAATTAATACTCCATTCATGTTATTTATGGGAAATTGTCAGTAACTCATCATGAGTCACCAGTATCTAAAAGGTAGGTAATGAATCTTTAACAAAATAAAACGGCTTTTATTTTATGTGCTTTAAAAATAAGCTAACCACACAAATTGAATCAATTTATATTATAAAAAAAAAAAAAATACAAAGACTTGTGATGACTGTACCTACAGATATAAAACATCGTCTGTTATTTATCTCATTAATTTTGTTGGTGTTAAAATATCACCAAGATTCCTATACAATGATGTCAATTGGTGCATTACTGTTTATTTAAGTACCTATTAAAATTTCTGAAATATAAAGTTTGATTGGTTAATAAACTGGATTTGTTTTGATCATGTTTCTTTTTTCATTCGAAAGTTAAACTATACGTTTAGCCATCGTTTTTTTAAGTCAACATGTTGGGTAAAATCTCAAGTATGATATTTGATGCTGAAATTTGTGTTCTATTTGTCATTTATTTTTAATATGATCAAATCTGGAATTGATCACTTGAATGATAGAATTGGGAAGCAGCTATAATGTGACGTGAAAGGAATACCGTAATCTATTTAATCAATGAAGTGTTCGAAAAAAAAAAACATTTACTAAATTGTATGTGCACTGTTCGTTATTGCAATTATTTTGTTGATGTTTATCAAAAGCTTTTAAATTAGTAAAATATGGGGTGTGTGTATTGGTGATATTAATTTTACTTTAACATAAAACATTAGTTATTTAACTAAAATGTTTTCCTTGTTTTAAGATTGTTTTTCAATAAAATCACCAACGCATCAACCACTAGCAGAGTATTATTAACTACGTAATATAAAACATATGTATTAACAAGTTGCTGTAGGTCTTAGATTTTAGAAGATATGCTGATGTATAGGTTTATTTTCCATAATTACGTTTGTGAAATAACAATCAGTAGCTACCATAGTAACAGACCCTATTTAGACATTTAATTATATAGATATAAGTGATACTGATAAAATACGTTTTCATACTCTTTTGATTACCTTGGAAAAATATGTTTGCTACTAATGTAAATACGAGGTTTCCCTGAATGTTTTCTCAAAATTGCGGTGCAGCCTAGAGTTATTTCAAATACTGTCTGTCACATGTTGAAAATTAAAATTAGTGTCTGTCAGTGACCAAGAGGTACGACTTTGAATTCATAATTTCAAAAACAATAAATACATACATAAACAAATTTAGCAAAACCTAATTTAAACAATTTTCCTATGACTGAAAAAACCAAACCATTTAGTTACACACACAATCGAATCTCGCGTCATTTGCTATCGGAAAAAAAATATGCAGTGCGTCCTAACAAATTCTTAGTTTTTCATATAACTTGCTTTACTGAAATACTGATTTTATAGAACGACAAAAAGACAAACCTAATTTTATAAAACAAGAAACAACTGCAAAAATTAGTTAACTATGATTGTAATACCTTCGAGTCGGTTAAAAAATGAAAGTTTTCTTTATCTTGTGTTAATTCTATGACTCTGTAACTTTTCCTGCTTTTCGTGAACAACATTTTCAAATAATATTAAACTGATAAATTCCACAAAACTTTGTTATTCAACAAGAGTGTCCTAAAACATTTTTTTTTGTTATGAATGTGGGTCAACTATATATTTTAGATACGAAAATTGTATATGATTTTTTTTCTTTGAATTTTTATATGTACGTTTTTGACATTGTCAATTTTTACCTCATATCCACAATATAATTTATTCGGGGAGAACTCTGACATTTCTGAAAGGCAGTTGGCTTTAATAAAGATGGCTTTTGAGAAGAAACAGTGTATAACGAAGTTACAATAGTTTACACTGAGACATTATCAGAGACCTGCGTAGTGTATATTTTTGCCAATTATCTAATGTTACAAGGTAAAGCTAAGACTAGTGATAGTGACATAAAAAAAACTAATCCCATTTGTGCGATTTAGCTTCGATATGAGATGCCATCATAAATCGAGGGTTTATAGCCGGCCAGGATAAAGTATTTGTTATTTACACCTATCAGTTTTACTAAATGGTATATTTATTATTGAGTGTACAGTTCTTTAATTTTACCAATACCATGTAACCTTAGAGAAATGGCGAAAATATATCCTACTTTAAAACTACGCATTTGAAAATGAGACAGTAGCAAACATTAGAAAATTACATACTTAGGTACACACTGGGAGAGAGAACACAAAAGTTTTTTTTAAGTACAAACTAATGTATTTATTTTAATTTCAAATAGGATAACACACAATAATTAAATATAAAATACACTCTGTAATAATGCGATATAACTATTATGACAAAGCAATTGCCTTCCATGTAACGCAGAACATATCCAAATACCCTTTCGCGCTTAACATATTTACAAATAAATGTTTTTCTTACCAGTGTATATACAATATGTGTGTAATGTGGCCTTAATTTTAGGACTTCAATTTTTCATCCCAAAACAAGTATATGAAAATAATTATTTATCTTGGAACCATAATAAAAAAAAAAAGTGTATGTTATGAGTTACTGAGATGGGTTAAAAACGTTTTACTTCAATATTGGGACGTTTTATACCCATTCATAAGATGTAATCAATAAATTTGAGATAGTTACTGTTATAAACAAGTAACTGTTTTATTATTTCACAATTCTTGTTATCCTGTTGTTATGTTGTTCGAATAAATATTTGTTTCATAATAAAGTATTACATCCAAATACAACGGCATTAGTATCGTTACTTTTCCTTAAACGTATTATTAACTAATCAATCCCGCTCCTCTACTCGTCAAGCCACCCAACTAGCCACCATACTAGGGAACTCCCTGAATGTCCCCTAGTATGGATTTCGTGTAGGAGGCTAACGCTGTTTCCGTTTCTTCATTGCATCCACGACAGATTGGATCTGTTAGCATTCCTATCGTATGTAGATGTTTGTTAAACTGGTATGTTCCCTAAGGAATCCTACCAGTTTACGCAGTTTGTCCCTTGAAAGTGAGAGATACAATTTTGTCAACTTACGGTCTGGTGTCGCTATACAAGCTCTACTCTGCCGACAGCTGCTCAACGTCGTCCATATTTGCTCATGGCATCCATGAGTATATTGCTGTACGAGTTCGTTCGAGAAGGTGACCGAAGGCGTGATTGCCAGTTCGGGTCCCTAAAAGGGCATGCCTGCCGCTCATTTCGACATCTCATCTGCCCTCTCTTTTCCTTTGTTGCCACTGTGTCCATTGATCCAACAAACTTCTACACTATTTCTCTGCGTTACATACCTTAGAGTTTGCCTGCACTCTCAAACCAGCCCGGATCGAACGGGCCTGCTGTCAGTAAGTATGGATATTGATTTGTTGTCGATTTCAACAACTATTCCATTTTCCAGCATTATACCCATCAGTTCTGTTTGTAAGACAGACGTATGGGTGCCGAGAGGTACACTGATTTGTGCGTTCAGTTGTTCGAAATAGATGCCGGCTCCTGAACCACAATCTGTTTTGACACCATCGACATAGATATCGATATCGGCTTCTCCTGAATTATCATTCATTGATATTGTATATGTTTTCTCATAATATATTAATTTTGTGCTCAGTCGGTCACAACCCATCCTTAACAGAAGCATTCTGTTGAACGCCTCCGTCAAAATACGAATGTGCTTCGTTATGCGTCCTTGCTTGTTCCATGCTCCCAGAGAGTGAAGTCTTAGATACATCCTCACTGTGGCTTCCTCTATGTAAAGGTTAAGAGGTGCTAAGCAAAGAAGAATCTCCAGAGCGGTTCTCATTGCTCCTGTAACACTGTTCAATTTGCAGGGTTATTTTTTTTTGTTTGGACCACCAAACTAAAGCTCCGTAGCACAGCATCGGTCTGACCATTGCCGTGTAGATCCAGAGGGCGATCTTGGGGTTTAAACCTCAACACCTTCCCACCACCTTACGACATTGCCAAAGGGCCACGCGTGCTTTTTCCACTTTATTATCTAAATGTTTTTTCCAGTTCAGTTGCCTTGGCATCTGTAGTGTGCTAATTTTCCTTCTCCTAGTAAACATGATTAGCTTCGTCTTTTCTGCATTTACGGAGAGGGTATGCTTGCTACACCATTCCTCGACTATTGTAATGTGTCTGCGTTTTTTCCTGTTAGCAAAATGACTAAATTATTTGCGTATCCAATTGTGTGGTAGCCAAGATCATTGAGACATCGTATCAGGCTATCAACGACAGTGTCCCTCCAGTACAGGAAAAAGTGCTCCTTCCTGGGGACATCCCGTGTCTACAACAGCCTCGATCTCAGTTATATTAATTAGTACTTCCCTATTCCTCAGCATATCAGTCACCCACCTACTCACATCGTGCTGTTGTAAGTGTGACGGGCCGTCACTAAATCAGTTCACGAGCAAATCGCAACAAAAAGACGAAAAACAAATTCCCAGAATATAAAAACAAAATTACACCCTGATGGTTTTCCCACAAACGCTTTTGAATGAGCCGCAAGAGGGCAATATTCCGACGCGAAATTTAAAATATGCAAACTCCCTATCGCACAAAATTTTGAGGGGAGGTAAGCACGTTGGTGGTGGAGATGATTTGACAAATTTTGGTTAGAGTTTTACCATATACATTATATTCTTAATGTACATAAAAAAATTTGACCACAATCGGTTGCAGTTTCGAAGATTATTTGTCTAACAAAAATCCGTACAGACGGCAGACAGACAGACGGACAAACAGACGGAAACAGGAGAGTTATTTTTCGTACTGTTGGGGTCATGAAACGTCGAGGAAACATGAAAGTAGCCAATTGCCCGATGAACTCGGATTACGATACTTTCTTATTAGTTTACACTCGAAAAAGGAGAAATTTCAACGAAGATTGGGATTTTCAGGATTTCAAATTAAAAAATAAGACTCTTCCGTTTACTTAACCCTTTACTCAACAGACGAAATTAATATTACAGCGGAAAACTAACCGAATTCTTTAACAATAGTAGTTTTAATAATGAAATTCTAACAAGTGTTCACAATACTTGAAAATAAATTTATTATTTTATTCCGGTAGCATACACTAATTTTAACTTTATTTATTATCCACGGGATAATAACAGAGCCATCAATTAATCATCTCTTATAAACTTTGGTAACTGGAACTTCATTTATTTTCCCCACTCTTCAAAGTTAGAATTTACAAACTGTTCCGGTTTAATTTTTCTTATCGATGGCGGTAAGTCTGACCTCTGTTCAAGTTGTTCTGGATATGACCATGGAATATGTATCATATCTAAATTCTCTTTACTATGTTTTTCATAATATGTTTGTAACCATGACTCTATGGTTGGGATTCGAATTTTTTTTCCTTGTTCTTGACTGTCCACTAAAATGGTTTATTCAAATAAATAAATAATTTATAGAAAATGCATGTTAAAACTACAATACGTGACAGGTAAATTTAAATAACTTATTAAAGATTTCAGCCTGCTAAGTTACTTCATCACTACTTTTCTATACAGGTGGTTTCAAGTTACAGAATTCTAAAATGTGAAACAAATGTTTACTGCTGTTTGTCGCATAATTATTGAGAATGTTTCTTAAATGAAAATCACCCATGTTGGGATATTTGGACGAGTACAATAAGGCAAAATAAAGATGGGTGGAAAGCTTTCTGACTTTTAACTTTGCGTCCTTTATTTCTACAAATGACAAGATTATAGTAGACATCTTTTGAAAACAGCACATTGAGTCATCGAAAGCTGCGCGCAGAAAATCGACCAGTGGCGTCGAGACTTTTGTTCTTTTAGGGGTCAATGCAAAATATCGTTGCGGACGTAAATGTTGAAAATTGTAAAAAAAAATATTCCAGTAATTATTTACTTCACCTACAAAAGGAACTATACCGGGTGTCTGGAAAATGGTGGATTGACTCTTCAGTACGTTATATACGGGGGTTTAGAATAAAATAAATAAAAAAATTCTGTATGATGTAGATTAGGAAAAAAACCTACGTTTTATAAAAGTAAAATTGGCAACACTGCTCACACCTAATGCGTGAATACCTTCGGATTATTTTCTGATTTCTTAGTAACGATGGTGACTAAAATCCACGTTCGTTTTATATCAGGCAAACATTGTTGTCAAATGGAATTTTATCAAATTATTACAAAAACAACACAACCATATCTTTGTGCATTCTAACTGAAATGGTACTTAAACATGTCAATATGACAACAAAATTCACAAGCATTAATAGCCACTCAGTATATGGGTACCAAAGTATAGTATGGATACAACAAGAAGCACAAAATTGTACGCATTTCTCTCAAGTTCAATGTTTTATAGGTACAATTCGTAAGTGGGAAATGAGTAGCCTGTGTAAATTGTGTACTGTAGATTACACAGATTTTGCTGTATACACATGTTTCGACACAAACATTTTCATGAAACTCAGCATTACAGTACATATTGAAGCTTTAGTATGTAACTTTTTACATTTCTTTACCTTGTAATTTTATTTCCCATAATTGTTCTGGAGTATAATGCGTATATTTACACATTCCAGAAAATTGACAAACACCGTTACTTAGGAATCTTCTACAAGGAGTTTTTTCGCATTCTTCTTTCAATATTGTTCTAAAATCTGTAATGAATTAATTAAAAGCTGAAATAATTATGTAAGATTAAAATTAACCTCGATGATGTTCGTAATGTAAATTTCTTAATTTTATATGATATGAACTCTGCAAATGTTTCCTTCGGGCGTCTAAATCATCGATAAAAGATTTCTCACAATAGTCACAGTAATATCGTCGACGCATTTCTATCAAAATTACACTTCTGTTTTTGCAAAGTGTTAGGTTAGATTAGAACTTAGAACGTTACAGGTTACACTCTGATTCTGTGGTTGTGCGACGGCTGTGTGGTCACAACTGACAACTGACGTCTGTGCAACTGACCAACCAACAATGGAAAATTAACCTCATTTCTTATTTGTGGTGTTAAGTCGGATGGCCATCGTGAACAAAACGAGTAGAATAGGAATAGCACAAGGGAATTCGACAGGATCGCACCCGGCATGGTAGAATTTCTTCCCGAAACGATAGGACACAAATGATACATGACTGATTCGAACATAATTTTTACATAGACAACCAACAATATACGGAAAGTGAGGCCGGGGATGCATACGTCCCTTATAATGGTAGACTTGGTTAAAAATGTGTTGGAATCATAATCATTGTACCTCCGTGGTTAGAATGAACATTTTGAGACAATAAAATCAGAAAATCACCAAAAAATATATACAGAATGACTCATGAATAGCGTCCGCTGTAATAGTTGTGTTTATGCGACCCAAAATACATTTTCACAGGCTACTTACGCGAATTATTTATTTGAATAATTTTTTAATATCAGAGTTATCCAATTCTGAGAAACCTAATGTGTCAAAAATATTTTTCAAATTGTCATTAAAAGTACAGCACATTAATGAAACAAAAAAATTGGTCTAAAGAGTTTAGACAGTACTTCCCTCGCTGTCGGAAACTTGACGACTGCATGCCTATTGTGTTTTTTTTCTCATTACATTTTTGTAGTGGGAATTTAAAAAAAAATTGCGATGACGTCATCAACATTTTTGCAAGGACACGTATATCAGTTGGGATAGATGTAGTGTAATACTAAGAATAAAATTATTATATTCTCAAATTTTCGGGAAAATGAATTGGGTCGTTTGAATATTGATTTGTAATAATCAATAAAATAACGAAACAATTTACTCACGTATACCTACGTATCAGAGGCAACTGAAAATCGTGTATGTATAAACATTCTTAATTTAAGATGACAGGCGTAACAGCATACGTGAGAGCCAAACACAGAAACTGTAAACAAAACGACCGTCGGTTTTATTGCTTCGACTTCCGCTTATTATATAAAACATTGGGTTTTATTTTAATTCTTGACGGTGAAATTCACAATTGGTTGATTATAAACATGTCTATTTCACATTCGCGGAATCAAGTGAACGCACAAAACAAATGCAGGTCTGTAATGTTAAAGTCGATGTAAATAAGCGTGCTACCCTTATGTTTCAACCGAGTTTTTCCTTTAACAAATTTTGTGTCTACCAAATTGGGTTGGTTGGGGTGTAATACTAATAATAAGTGTTGCCTTTAATTTAATCAATAAAATAAATTGACTTCATTAATTTTTTTGAACCACCTCTTAAGAAAATCTAAAAAATATGAATGGAATGATAAATCACAAGTACAAACTCATCATATTTTTTGCATTTTAGATAGGATTTATTCAGCAAAATTTAAGAGTGACGTCATCAATTTTTTTAGGAGGGATGAACAAATACATTTTGAACAAAAGTTTACCATGCTTATAATAACTTTAAAATATTCCCAAGATTTCAAAGCATTCGGTTTTGTAATTCCTGATTAAATCGATAAAATAAATTCACGCCTTCATTAATTTTTTTGAGTCACCCTGCATATGCAAATCCAAAAATATGAATGGAATGATAAATCACAAGTACAGACTCATCATATTTTGTACATTTTAGATACGATTTATTCGGAAAACTTTTGAGCTGACGTCATCAGTTTTTTGTAGAAGATAACGAAATATATTTTGACTAAAAATTTATTATGCTCTTTATAACCTTAAAACATCTGCAAGATTTCAAAGCATTCGGTTTTGTAGTTCCTGATTAAATCAATAAAATAAATTTACGCATTCATTAATTTTTTTGAGTCACTCTGTATATGCAAATCCAAAAAATATGAATGGAGTGATAAATGACAAGTACAGGCTCATCATATTTTGTACATTTTAGGTATGATTTATTCGGCAAACTTTCGAGCTGACGTCATCAAGTTTTTGGAGGGGATAAGCAAATATATTTTGACTAAACATTTATTATGCTCTTTATGACCTTAAAACATCTGCAAGATTTCAGAGCATTCGGTTTTGTAGTTCCTGATTAAATCAATAAAATATATTTACGCATTCATTAATTTTTTTGAGTCACCCTGTATATGCAAATCCAAAAAATATGAATGGAGTGATAGTTCACAAGTACAGACTCATCATATTTTGTACATTTTGGATATGATTTATTCCACAAACTTTTGAGCTGACGTCATCAAGTTTTTGGAGGGGATAAGCAAATATTTTTTGACTAAAGATTTATGATGCTCTTTATAGCCTTAAAACATCTGCAACATTTCAAAGCATTCTGGTTAGCAGATTAAAAATTAAATTTCAAAATGTTGTTTTATAATTTTGATTTTTTTTCCAAAAATCTGGACGTTTCGGGTGAAAAGTCGATTCAGAGTTGTAAACTACATGTGTAGGACTATGTTATTTTATACAATTGAAAACCCATTTACTATGTACAATTTTGAAGTGACGTCATCGCTTTAGTGGTGGGGATGATTCGACAAATTTTGGTTAGCGTTTTACCATCTACATGATATTCTTAATATAAGTACAAAATTTCACAACAATCGGTCGAGTACTTTCGGAGATTATCTGTCTAATAAAAATCCGTGACAACAGACGGACAGACGGACAGACGGACAGACGGACAGACGGACGGACAGACGGACAGACGGACAGACGGACAGACGGACAGACGGACAGACAGACGGAAATGGGAGACCTATTTCTTCGTCTTCTAGGGGTCATGAAAGATCGAGAAAACGTAAAAGTAGAGAGTCGGCCGATGGACTCGATTACAATACTTCCTTTGCTTACGCTCGGGAAGTAAAAATACAGAAAAACAATAATAGAATAACAAAACTAATGCAATAAATGTTCAAGAAAGATCTCCGAACACGTCTCAAAATATCAGGGGTTACGGTGTTACACGCATGCCTTATTCGGGTTTTCAATGTTTTCATGTCATTTAAGTTTTCGATAGGGGTCTCATAAACGTTTGCCTTTACGAAGCCCCATAAAAAAATAGTCCAGCGGGATCATGTCAGGACTCCGAGGGAGCCACGGATGTTCTGCGCCTCTACCAATCCATATATCTTCAGTTATATTAATTTCTCTTTACAGATCAACTGCCATGACCAGTAATACATATCTCTAGTTGCCTCGAGACCGCTGGCGCCGCGGAAAGTCAACGGTACACTGTTAACTACACAGTCCGAACCATGATCACGATCATGATAGTTTTCTATATTTCCAAGACATCGAACTCGCTATGTTTAAATGCTAATTTAAATTACATTTTAACTTGCATTGAATTAATTTTACTTTTTTATATAATAAATTCATTAGCATTAACTGAGTGGAAGAATAAGGTTATTTTAAAAGTATGTAATCTTTACTGCCACCTATAGGTTAAAAGTGAAATAAATGTAGTACATGCCGTACTTTTACAGTATGTAAGTGGCGGAGGTTTGCAGCTTGTTTATGTCATCATGCTATCTTTATCTTCATCTATTTATCAACAAGAATAACAAGAAGACAACCTAGCAAGCACACAGTACGACCGTTCAAGTACGGTGTAACGACAAAAAACAAATATGAAGTAAAAATTGGTGCACGCAATTTTTTTCTGTTCGTATAGCCACTGTTGGGAGCCTAATTCCGTGAAAGTGAGGTGTACCGTGTGTTCAAATATGTTAATTGTTACAGTGTTCAGAATTTTCGAATCATCGCCCTCGGCATTCAGTTCATGTTTTTGAACACTCCGTTTTAGTAGGCCTGTGTTATAATTTCTTTTGGGTAGGTATTTTCCTTTGTTTTTAATAATTTTGTTTATAATATCATTAATTCTTTTATACATTACACTGGACCCTGGGAACATTTCAGTGCCAGAATACTTTAAAACATGACATGCATCTTACGGATTAAATATACAACTATTTGTTTATACTAAACGTGTAAACATCACTAAAGATTCCAGAACGCAACGCCTCAGCTACGTAAAAAGTATTTGCTTAATAAATGATTGCAAACCTAAACCTGTAAGAACAATTTCATTCATATTTGCTCATTTTTTTTTATACAATCTATATTTATCAATTAGTTCTGTAGTTATATATATGTATAATGTTTTTTTTTTATATGGGACATGCATATTACGTATTTATGCGAGCATTTGTACATGTAATTATAAACGCAACGATTAGTCATGACTACCTGCAGTTCCAAGATAATTCAGTTATGTAGACAAACTAGAAATTGGAAAGCTATTTGAAAAATTTAAACATAAACATTCTAAGAACGTCATGAATCTTGCGGTGAGATAATTTCGAAGAGATTTATGCAAAGATTGTGGTATGAGCAACAAATTATACGTGTCATGTGTACGTACTTGTAATATAATCTATATCGTGTGATTTTTAAGTAAACGACAAAATTAATTGAAAACTTACTACGATTACATATCTGTACCATACAATTTTTAAATAATGTAATACAGATTGAGAAGAACGATGAAATTAAAAATTGCAAAAAAGAGGTTTTTGCCCGTTTGAGAAATACGGGTAATTTGTGTGAATCCTGAAGTTTTCGATTTCTGTGCCAAAACTCGAAAATTTTAGCATACACAAATCCAAGATTGGAAAAAATGAATTGTACGACGTATGAGGGACTATCTTGTTTGTAAATATTATATTACATATAGGGAAGCATTTTTAGCGCGAAATATTTATTAGTAATGAATTTATAATTGAATCTACAAAATATCTCGTTTTGTTAATTTTTACTTCTCAAGCACAAGGGAGAAAAGTATTCTAATAGGGCATTTTGACGAATGATTAAATTCATTTTTTTCTCCAAGTTACCACATGCATGAAAAGTAGGTTACACCTGTTTCGTTTCCATGTGTTTGCCACTTGTTGTTTGTTGGTGATTTTATTGAATATATTGTTGTATATATACATCAACACAAACTATTGAACTGATTGTTTTGAAATTTTATAAAAAAGGTTTTAAGAGATGTTGATAGTTAAATGCTAACCAAAATTTATCTGATGATCCCCATGAAAAACTAAAAAATAACTGCTATCTACAATGTGCAAAATAATATGCTTCCATATCTGTGATTAATTATTAATTCACTTCCGCTTTTAACCATAGGGACGTTGACTTTCAGAAAAAAATTGGTCTAAAGAGTTTAGACAGTACTTCCCTCGCTGTCGGAAACTTGACGACTGCATGCCTATTGTGTTTTTTTTCTCATTACATTTTTGTAGTGGGAATTTAAAAAAAAATTGCGATGACGTCATCAACATTTTTGCAAGGACACGTATATCAGTTGGGATAGATGTAGTGTAATACTAAGAATAAAATTATTATATTCTCAAATTTTCGGGAAAATGAATTGGGTCGTTTGAATATTGATTTGTAATAATCAATAAAATAACGAAACAATTTACTCACGTATACCTACGTATCAGAGGCAACTGAAAATCGTGTATGTATAAACATTCTTAATTTAAGATGACAGGCGTAACAGCATACGTGAGAGCCAAACACAGAAACTGTAAACAAAACGACCGTCGGTTTTATTGCTTCGACTTCCGCTTATTATATAAAACATTGGGTTTTATTTTAATTCTTGACGGTGAAATTCACAATTGGTTGATTATAAACATGTCTATTTCACATTCGCGGAATCAAGTGAACGCACAAAACAAATGCAGGTCTGTAATGTTAAAGTCGATGTAAATAAGCGTGCTACCCTTATGTTTCAACCGAGTTTTTCCTTTAACAAATTTTGTGTCTACCAAATTGGGTTGGTTGGGGTGTAATACTAATAATAAGTGTTGCCTTTAATTTAATCAATAAAATAAATTGACTTCATTAATTTTTTTGAACCACCTCTTAAGAAAATCTAAAAAATATGAATGGAATGATAAATCACAAGTACAAACTCATCATATTTTTTGCATTTTAGATAGGATTTATTCAGCAAAATTTAAGAGTGACGTCATCAATTTTTTTAGGAGGGATGAACAAATACATTTTGAACAAAAGTTTACCATGCTTATAATAACTTTAAAATATTCCCAAGATTTCAAAGCATTCGGTTTTGTAATTCCTGATTAAATCGATAAAATAAATTCACGCCTTCATTAATTTTTTTGAGTCACCCTGCATATGCAAATCCAAAAATATGAATGGAATGATAAATCACAAGTACAGACTCATCATATTTTGTACATTTTAGATACGATTTATTCGGAAAACTTTTGAGCTGACGTCATCAGTTTTTTGTAGAAGATAACGAAATATATTTTGACTAAAAATTTATTATGCTCTTTATAACCTTAAAACATCTGCAAGATTTCAAAGCATTCGGTTTTGTAGTTCCTGATTAAATCAATAAAATAAATTTACGCATTCATTAATTTTTTTGAGTCACTCTGTATATGCAAATCCAAAAAATATGAATGGAGTGATAAATGACAAGTACAGGCTCATCATATTTTGTACATTTTAGATATGATTTATTCGGCAAACTTTCGAGCTGACGTCATCAAGTTTTTGGAGGGGATAAGCAAATATATTTTGACTAAACATTTATTATGCTCTTTATGACCTTAAAACATCTGCAAGATTTCAGAGCATTCGGTTTTGTAGTTCCTGATTAAATCAATAAAATATATTTACGCATTCATTAATTTTTTTGAGTCACCCTGTATATGCAAATCCAAAAAATATGAATGGAGTGATAGATCACAAGTACAGACTCATCATATTTTGTACATTTTAGATATGATTTATTCCACAAACTTTTGAGCTGACGTCATCAAGTTTTTGGAGGGGATAAGCAAATATTTTTTGACTAAAGATTTATGATGCTCTTTATAGCCTTAAAACATCTGCAACATTTCAAAGCATTCTGGTTAGCAGATTAAAAATTAAATTTCAAAATGTTGTTTTATAATTTTGATTTTTTTTCCAAAAATCTGGACGTTTCGGGTGAAAAGTCGATTCAGAGTTGTAAACTACATGTGTAGGACTATGTTATTTTATACAATTGAAAACCCATTTACTATGTACAATTTTGAAGTGACGTCATCGCTTTAGTGGTGGGGATGATTCGACAAATTTTGGTTAGCGTTTTACCATCTACATGATATTCTTAATATAAGTACAAAATTTCACAACAATCGGTCGAGTACTTTCGGAGATTATCTGTCTAATAAAAATCCGTGACAACAGACGGACAGACGGACAGACGGACGGACAGACGGACAGACGGACAGACAGACGGAAATGGGAGACCTATTTCTTCGTCTTCTAGGGGTCATGAAAGATCGAGAAAACGTAAAAGTAGAGAGTCGGCCGACGGACTCGATTACAATACTTCCTTTGCTTACGCTCGGGAAGTAAAAATAACTACAAAATCGATTGTTTTAAAATTGTGTACACGGTTACTGTGAATATGGTAAATAGTTAATCAGAATTCATGTGTTTATACCTTCATCTGATACATGTCAAATTTTTTTTTAGAAAATCTCACATCAAACTTATGGTATGACATGTTTCTCTATTTGTAGTTGCATCAATAAAATAACGAAATAATTTAATTTCTGCCGTATGTAATAGTAGAGGTGCTACCGAAGACTGAACTGAAAATCATTGATGGTATTCGTAATTCTTAAATTACGAGTACTATAAATGATTTATATAGCGATAACGCCTGTACACGTGAGAGTGACACGGAGAAACTAAAAGATATTTTTTACGAATTGCAATAACCGGATCACAATGCCGATAGTCCAGACTTTTTATTGGTCCAATTTACGTTTATTAAATAAAACATTCCATTTTATTTTGATTTTCGATATTGTAATTCACATTTGGTTAATTATAACTTGTCTAAGTCTAGGGAGAGAGCAACAATTTCTGTAGGGGAGGTTCAGCATCTCTCACCCTAGCTACAGGGACATGAGACGTCGAGAAAATATGAAAATACCAAATCGCCCGATGGACTCCATTATTAGACAGCCTTAGCTTACGCTCAATAAATAAAACAACTTGGAGGAGTTTATATTTATACATCGGAAGAATGTCACGTAGAAATTAGTTTGATTTGAATGAGTTTGTCGCCTCAAAACGGAGGATTAAACTTATTAATTAAGTAAGCGACAATCGAACAACATGTTCTGATTATTATTATTATTCTTATCTAATTCTTATTAAATAAATACGTTCGTATTTCCGCATTTTCGAAAAAATGGGGTGACTCGTTCTTAATTTGATCAATAAAAAATTAGAGAGTCAGTAATTTTACTAAATTTATTTATCTAATGAAAGAAAGATATTTCTTCGTACTTTAGGGGTCATGAAAGGTCGAGAAAACGTAAAAGTAGAGAATCGGCCGACGGACTCGTTTACAATACTTCCCTAGCGTAAGCGATCTAGCAAATTACTCAATAATTACTAATTAAATAGGATACAATCATCATTTTTTCCAAGGGAATCGACTTACGCAAATGAATGGTTGCTATACTTGTATTTCAGGGTCTTTTTTTAAATGTTTTGCATACTGAAAGCGTAAACAACAATTTATTATATGTATGTCGCATAAACATAGTAAATTTGTTTTTGTTATTTCTTTATTTGTATCGACAAAATAATAGAAATGTTTGCTATCAGTTGTTGCTTGTTATTTAACTTTATTTATTATTATTAAAAATTTTTCTGCAAAAAAATTATACTATGACTGCCTAAAAGTGCAACAACACCCTGCGGGAGTTGAACGCAGC